CAGATCCAAAGACAGAGAAACAGCGATCAGACTATCAATCCCCAGAGGGAAAGTAGGGGAGGGTTGAGGTAAGGGGAAGAGATCAACCAAAGGACTTATATGCATGCATATAAGCCAAACCAATGGACATAGACAACAGGAGGATGAGAGCATGAGTGGGGGGCTGGGGGAGGCTGGAGGTTAACGGGGGGATGAGGACACATTTGTAATACCTTAACCAATAAAGAATTAAAAAAAAAAAAGTGAGGGACAGGTCACGTGCATAAGGATTAAAAAGCCGAGCAAACCCCCTGCTCATTGTGTGCATGCTTACAGACCATATGCTGCACACCCTCATGCTGGAGTGAAGATATTTGCCTTGCAAAAAAATAAAAAGGACCATTATGTAGCTACTACTGAATTTCTTTGGTCTATAGTACCATGTAGCCCTCAAAGTCTGGATATTTCTTATGCCATACATCCGAAGGATGCAAAAGCTTTGTAGGACAGTGTCGACAAAGCCTCTGGGAGAGTTTCCCATCAGGAAGTTGACTTGTTCATAGACTGCCTTTGTTCACATTTCCAAAGGCATTTCAAAATTCACTTATCAGCCACAAGATTTGTTCATGTATCAACATCTGTAGCTTCAGCACACACTAATGGAAAAATAAAGATTCTGTGTCATAAATGCCTTATTGGAGTGTTGTCATATTTGACAGAACAGGCAATTTTTCTAATTGAGTGAGGCCTTGTGGGGATCATAGGTCATGGAATATATACCTTTTTCTCATTGATTATTTGACTAATTGTTATGCTGAGAAGGGACTGCAGCAGAAATGGGCATCCTTCTCTGCATTTGTTTCCTCACAGTGCCTTTGGAGGTACCCAGTAAGAGACAAGAAGGATCTAGAACAGAAGATGGTAAGGGATGAACCACAGCCAGGTGCTTCTGTAATAGTCATGATGATCAAGGGTGCCAATCTCTAGAAAATGCTGAATTGTTATTTGTTGGCCATCTTTCTAAAAAATATGTAATGTTTAGTATGTCAAACGTTTAGGGTTCAAATGAGATAGCTCTAATCTTCAGTATTTCTGATTTGGGTCTCTAAAACTTTCAATCCCTTGTAAACATTTTACTTGCATTAAGAGAGAATTTCTGTCTTGTAAAGACATTTTCCTAGCACAATTTTGCTGTAGAGAACTAGCAATCAAAAAATCCTCTGCAAAGGAAACTAAAAATGAATATGGATTTTTTAAAGCCACTAATATGCTTCTGCTTTTAATATTATTCAGTTCTTATTGCAATGTTGAATTAAATGTATTCACTTTTAAAATGAAGCAATGTCTTGGTGACAGATTTTTAATTAATGTTTCAGGAATGGGAAGTCATGGGCTTTTTTCTCTAGCACAAAGGTTACAAACCAACAATTACAGAGAGTCATAAAAATTACACATATGGAAGGCAGAGATTTTCTTCATGTCCCCAATTTTGCTTTAGCACAGTGCTTGGTAAATATCTGTAGATAAAATGAATGAAATTTAATCAATTCTTCCATTTTGCAGATGAAATTTACCAACTTTAGAAACTTGCCCTAGAGGTTATATGTAAACCTCTTCTTTTTACTGAGTATAGAAAAGTTTTGTTTTACTTTAGAAACCATGTTTTTAAAAATCTTGTTTGGAAGAAAATAACTTTAATAGGCTATTAGTCTAAAAAAAAAACCAAGTTTCTGGAGTGTGGCATTGTTTTACGTTAGGAACAGGAGAGGTAGTAGAAAAAGCATGGGCTTTGGAGTCAGACATTCATTCATTCAATATTAAGCTCCTACTGTGTACTTAGTATTGGGTAATGGGAATATAGCAGTGAAGACAAAAAAGATCCCTGCACTGTGGAAATTATATTCTAATGGAGGAAGGCAGAAGATAATTTCATATAGAGATAAACACAATAAAGTAAATAAGGCAGTGAGATGGAAAAAAGGATGAGTGGGATGGGCCTACTTTACTTACAGTTATCAAAGAAAGGCTCTCTGAGTAAGTGACAGGGGAGCTGAGTCCTGAGTAAGGAGCAGGAACTAGCCACATGAAGACCTAAGGACAAGTGTGCTAGGCAGGTGACACTGCAGGAGTGAAGGCCTTGGAACAGATAAGGGCTCAATTTGAGGAACAAAGGGAATCTGTATGGCTGAAGTACAGTGAGTAAGAGTGGAGTAGTGCAAGATGAAACTGAAGAGATTGTGCACCAGAAACTTCTTCCATGGTGCTATGACTCTCAACTTTTGGCTGGGCACATGGCTGCCCAGAAACAGGATGACATTTTCCAGCCTTTCTCAGAGGTTTCTAAGTTCTGACCCATATAAGTGGAAGCGTTATGTAGAGCTTCTAGGAATCTTCCTTAAAACACAGCAGGCATGTACCCCTTGCTCTTTTCTTCTTCCAACTATGCTGATTGGCACACATGTAATGACTGGTACTCTAGCTGCTCTTTTAGGTCACAAGGATGAGGGTCAGGTCCTAAGGACCAGGAAACATGGCCTGGAAGGAGTTTGTGCCCTGAGGACTTTAAAAAAAAAAAAAATATATATATATATATATATATATATATATATATATATATATATATATATTAATTGATTTCAGCCTCCTACATGCCCCCTACTGGGGGTCGAGCCCGCAACCTGGGCATGTGCCCTTAACCAGAATTGAATCCAGGACCCTTCAGTCCCCAGGCCGATGCTCTAACCACTGAGACAAACCTATTAGGGCCCTGAGAACTTCTTGAAGCTGAACCCTGTACCAACCTTGGGAGGTCTTCCCCCAGACATGTGTGTCAGAGAAGTAAACTTCCATCTTGTTTTAAGCTATTGCTGTTTGGGTCTCTTGCTCATAACGAAACCTAATCATAATACCTAGAGACAGGATTCCCATCATCTCAGTTTTCATAGGTACTGTGAAGAAATTGGATTTTATCCTAAATGCAATGGGAAGACCCTGAAGCAGGAGAGTAATATGACCCACTTTATATTTTATAAGTTATTGAATAAATTGTACATAGACAAGAGTGGAAGAAGGAAAACAGTTAAAGGGGTGTTAGAAATGGTACAGACCCTATGGAGAAGTTAGTGTATAGTATGCTCTCCTTTATAGAAGTAATGGAGGAATATGTGTGTGTATTTCCTTATGTTAAAAAAATGGAAGAGCCGAAACCGGTTTGGCTCAGTGGATAGAGCGTCGGCCTGCGGACTGAAAGGTCCTAGGTTCGATTCCGGTCAAGGGCATGTACCTGGGTTGTGGGCACATCCCCAGTAGGAGATGTGCAGGAGGCGGCTGATCAATGTTTCTCTCTCATCGATGTTTCTAACTCTCTATCTCTCTCCCTTCCTCTCTGTAAAAAATCAATAAAATATATTTTTTAAAAAAAAATGGAAGGGACAAACCAAAAACTAATAAAAATGGTTACTAATAGGAGAAAGGAAGGAATTGGAGAGAGGAGACAGGAATGCAAGTTAGGGCTTCTTTGAATGTTCCATTTATAGTTTGGAACCATATAAGTGGTTTATATAACTACTAGAGGCCCAGTGCAAGAAATTCGTGCATGGGGGGTGTCCCTCAGCCCAGCCTGCACCCTCTCCAATCTGGGGATGTCTAACCGCTCGTTTAGACCCAATCCCAATGGCATAAAAGGGCAGTCAGACATCTCTCTCACAATCCAGGACTGCTGGCTCCCAACCACTCACCTGCTTGCCTGCCTGATTGCCCCTGACGGAATCTGCCTGCCAGCCTGATCATGCCCTAATCAAGCTGTGGGCAAACTATGGCCCACGGGCCGGATCTGACCCATTTGAAATGAATAAAACTAAAAAAAAAAAAAAGACCGTACCCTTTTATGTAATGATGTTTACTTTGAATTTATATTAGTTCACACAAATACTCCATCCATGCTATTATTCTGGCCCTCCAGTCCAGTTTAAGAACCCATTGTGGCCCTCGAGTCAAAAAGTTTGCCCACCCCTGCCCTAACCTCTCCCCTGCCAGCCTGATCAATGCCTAACTACTCCCCTGATGGCCCAATAGCCCCTAACTGCCCTTCCCTGCAGGCCTGGATCCCCCCAACTGCCCTCCCTGCAGGCCTGGTCCCCCCAAACTGCCCTTCCCTACAGCCCTGGTCCCCACTACTGCCCTCCTCTGCTGGCCTGGTCCCTCCTAACTGCCCTCCTCTGCGGGCTTGGTCCCTCCTAACTGCCCTCCCTTGCAGGCCTGGTCCCCACAACTGCCCTCCTCTACAGGCAGAAAAAAATCAGATTAAAAAATGGGCAGAGGATTTGAATAGACTTTTTTCAAAAGAATTCATAGAGATGGCCAACAGATACATGAAAAGATGCTCACCATCACTTAAATGCAAATCAAAACCACAATGAGATATCACTTCACACCTGTTAGATTGGCTGCTATAAAAAAGACAAGAAACAAGTGTTGGTGAAGTTGTAGAGAAAAGGGAACCCTCATGCACTTTACGTAGAAATGAAAATTGACACAGCCACTCCAGAAAACAGTATGGAGGCTCCTAATTTTTTTGAAATAGAACTACTCTATGATCCAGTAATTGACTTCTGGAAATTTATCCAAAAAAGATTGAAAATACATCTGCACCACCATGTTCATTACATATTATTTACAATGGCCAAGATATGGAAACAACCAAACTCTGCATCAATAGATGAAGAGATAAAGATGTCTATATATATATATATATATATATATATATATATATATATATATATATATATATATATAAAACATCTGAGGTGAGTAGCGGGAGCCGCGCGCCCGACGGTCCCGGCAGCCTCTCTGAGCTTCCGCTGAAGCTGCCTTCGTTCCTCCGCGAGCCCGGGCCGGGTCTCCGCGTCTCTGCCCCGGCCGGCCGGCGGGGGAGCCTAGGGCCTGGGCTCCGCCCTCATGCCGCCTTCCCCCGCGGCTCACACATCCAGTCCCGTGGTTTCCTAAGAAGGCCGTTTTCAACTCCACCAGAGGCTACTATGGCATTCCCTCACCTGCAACAGCCCAGCTTCCTACTGGCTAGCCTGAAAGCTGACGCAATAAATAAGCCCTTTGCACAGCGGTGCCAAGACTTGGTTAAAGTCATAGAAGATTTTCCAGCAAAGGAGCTGCATGCCATCTTCCCATGGCTGGTAGAGAGCATTTTCGGCAGCTTGGACGGTGTTCTCATCGGCTGGAACCTCCGCTCCTTACAGGGACGTGTGAGCCCTGTCGAATACAGCATTGCGATGGAATTTCTAGACCCTGGGGCCCCGTGAAGGCATCCATTCAGGAGCACGTGGTCCCTGATAGCCCTCTATACCACAATAAGGTCCAGTTCCCTCCCACCGGGGGCCTCGGCCTGAACCTGGCCCCCAATCCGTTCGAGTATTACATGTTCTTTTTCGCTTTGAGCCTCATCACTCAAAAGCCACTCCCCGGGGCCCTCCATGTTCGTACTTCAGACTGTGCCTATTTCATCCTGGTGGACAGGTATCTATCATGGTTCCTGCCCACAGAAGGCAGCGTGCTCCCCCCACTCTCCTCCAGTCCCGGGGGGCCCAGCCCCTCACCAGCTCCCAGGACTCCAGCCATGCCTTTTGCTTCCTATGGCCTCCACCACACCAGTCTTCTGAAGCGACATATATCTCATCAGACATCTGTGAACGCAGACCCTGCCTCCCATGAGATCTGGAGGTCGGAAACTCTACTCCAGGTTTTTGTTGAAATGTGGCTTCATCATTATTCCTTGGAGATGTACCAAAAAAATGCAGTCCCCTCATGCCAAGGAGTCATTCACGCCCACCGAGGAGCACGTGCTGGTGGTGCGCCTGCTGGTCAAACACCTGCACGCCTTTTCCAACAGCCTGAAGCCCGAGCAGGTCTCGCCCTCCGCCCATTCCCATGCCACCAGCCCCCTGGAGGAATTCAAACGGGCTGCTGTCCCGAGGTTCGTCCAGCAGAAGCTCTACCTCTTCCTGCAGCACTGCTTCGGCCACTGGCCCCTGGACGCGTCCTTCAGAGCCGTCCTGGAGATGTGGTTAAGCTACCTGCAGCCCTGGAGGTACGCGCCTGAGAAGCAGCCTCAGGGTAGTGATGGCCAGGCCCGCTTTGTGTCTGAGAGATGGGCGCCCTTTGTGCAGGAGAACCTGCTGCTGTACACCAAGCTCTTCGTGGGCTTCCTGAGCCGCGCGCTGCGCACTGACCTGGTCAGCCCCAAGAACGCACTGATGGTGTTCCGAGTGGCCAAAGTCTTTGCCCAGCCCAACCTGGCTGAGATGATCCAGAAAGGCGAGCAGCTCTTTCTGGAGCCCGAACTCGTCATCGCCCACCGCCAGCACCGACTCTTCTCGGCTCCCACACTCACCGGCAGCTTCCTGTCATCTTGGCCGCCGGCCTTCACCGACACCTCCTTCAAGGTGAAGAGCCATGTCTACAGCCTGGAAGGCCAGGACTGCAAATACACCCCGATGTTCGGGCCAGAGGTCCGGACGCTGGTCTTGCGCCTGGCTCAGCTCATCACGCAGGCCAAGCAGACAGCCAAGTCCATCTCTGACCAGTGCAGGGAAAGCACAGCCAGTCGCCCTTTTCTGTCCTGGCTGGGCTTCTGCCTTTCGGACACAAACAGCTCCTACCCAGCCAATGACCTGGACGACATGGGGCAGGACAGCATCCGCAAGACAGACGAGTACCTGGAGAAGGCCCTGGAGTACCTGTGCCAGATGTTCCGACTCAGTGAGGCCCAGCTCGCCCAGCTCACTCTCGCCATGGGAACAACTCAGGATGAGAACGGCAAGAAGCAGCTCCCGGATTGCATCGTGGGTGAGGACGGACTCATCCTCACCCCCCTGGGCCGGTACCAGATCATCAACGGGCTGCGGAAGTTTGACATCGAGTACCAGGGGGACTCGGAACTGCAGCCCATCCGAAGCTATGAGATTGCCAGCCTGGTCCGCTTGCTCTTCCGGCTGTCCTCCACCGTCAACCACAGGTTTGCAGGCCAGATGAGAGCCCTGTGTTCCCGGGCTGACTTCCTCGGCAGCTTCTGTAGATACCACCTCATGGAGCCAGGGCTGACCGACAAGCACTTGCTGAGCCCCGTGGGGCAGGGGCGTGTGGCCAGCCGTGCCCGGGGCCCCAGGCTCAGCCTTCATTTCCTGGGCAGCTACCGGACGCTGCTGTCACTGCTGCTGGCCTTCTTTGTGGCCTCTCTGTTCCGCATCGGGCCCCTGCCCTTTGCCCTGCTCCTCGTGCTGGGCTACTTCCTCTACGCTGCGGCCATGACACTGCTGACGGAGCAGGGCAAGCTGCACCAGCTCTGACCACAGCCAGCCTCTCCCCACACTGCCCCTCCCGTGTACCTGGGAGGCCACCTCCGCACCTGAGCCTGGTCACCGTCACGCTTCCAGGGAGCATTTTCCTGTAGCCTCCGAACCGTTTGGAAGAGAATGAAGGAGAAGGGCACACAGTCCAGACTTGGCCAGGAAGAGAGCAGCGTCCAGGGCCCATGAGCTACGTGGGATGGGGACAGACCGGGGCCGGCCACGGGCCTTCCTCCTCCCTCAGCCGGAGGCTCCACAAGAAGATGGTCAAGGCTTTTCTCTTTTTAACTGTTTCAGGGTTTAGCCATGCGAAGCCAAGGAGTCTGTGCTTCCGGGGGGCGGCGGCCTCGCTGTCCTGAGGCGCGCAGTGTGGCCTCAGTCTCCGCCCTGGGTGACCCCAGGACAGCAGCTCAGCCTCTGGCTCCAGAGAAGGACCAAAGACCCTAAAAGCGACGCCTGAGAACATTAAATGGCGATTCTCGGAGCCCTCATTTTCAAACTACATCTGCCACCACACTTGGCAAAACAAGGGTTATTCATCGTGTTCTCCCAGCGACGGGAAGTCTGGGCCATACAACCCTGCTTTTGAGGAGAAAGGGTTCTTCGGGTGCTCGGTGGGACACCTGGCTTCCCTCAGCCCCCAAGTCAGCAAGACCTCGTTCAGGGGTGGCCCGTGTCACCACCTTGTCCTTCAGGACGGGCTCTCGTCCCCCGCAGGCCTAGGGGATCAGACAGGACCGCCCGGTCCCTCTGCCAGCTTCTGGTCTACAACCAAAGATGATCAAAAGCGTTTGTACCTTCAATAAAATCAAGTGTGCAAAGACAAAAAAAAAAAAAAAAAAAAAAAAAAAACATCTAATAAAAGAGAAACATGGTAATTACATACGACCACTACCCTTCCCATTGGCTAATCAGGGAGATATGCAAATTAACTGCCAGCCAAGATGGCAGCCAGCAGCCAGGCAGCTGACACGAATAGGGAGGCTTGCTTGCTTCAGTGAAGGAGGGAGCCAAGCTTCCCCTCCTGCCTTGCCGGCCTCTCAGCTGCACTCTAAGCAACATTGTAACAAGTATAGAAGCTAAACAAAACCCCAGGCTTCAGCCAGGAGGACCACAACATTGTTTCAAATACAGAAGGGTAAACAAAGGCCAAAAACCTGCTTTCAGCAGCAGAGGTCTCATAGCTGGAGCTGAGCCTCAGAGGTAAAGCTGGCCCAGAATAAAAAAATTAAAAAAAAGGAAAAAAGGACAGGTTGGGAGCTTCAGTCACCTGCCAGCCTGAAAATGGCCCTCAGCCCCTCACCCAGGCTGGCCAGGTCCCCCAGTGGGGACCCCCACCCTAAAGGGTGTGTGACCAGCTGCAAACAGCCATCATCCCCTCACCCAGGCTGGCCAGGCACCCAAGCGGGACCCCCACCCTGATCCAGGACACCCTTCAGGGCAAACCAGCCGGCCCACACCCGTGCACCAAACTTCTATCCTATATAGTAAAAGGGTAATATGCCTCCCAGCACCAGGATCAGTGGAGCCGCGAGGCCTCCCAGCACCGGGATCAGCGTGACAGGGGGCAGTGCCCAAACCCCCTGATCGCCCTGTGGCTCTGTGTGTGACAGGGGGCGTGGCCACAACCTCCCTATCCGCCCTGCTCTGTTCCTGACAGGGGGGAGCTCCCCAACCCCCTGATCGCCCTGCGGCTGTGTGTGACAGGGTACGGCGCCCCAACCCCCTGATCAGCCCTGCTCTGTTCCTGACAGGGGGGAGCTCCCCAACCCCCTGACTGCCCTGCGGCTCTGTGTGTGACAGGGGGTGGGGCCACAACCTCCCTATCCGCCCTGCTCTGTTCCAGACAGGGGGGAGCTCCTCAACCCCCTGATCGGCTCTGCTCTGTGCGTGACAAGGGGGAGCTCCCCAACCCCCTGATCGCCCTGCGGCTCTGTGTGTGACAGGGTGTGGCGCCCCCACCTCCCTCCCCATCGGCCTGCCCTGAGTGTGACACTGGCGGCACCCCAAACCCCTGATCCACCCTGGTCTGTGTGTGACAGGGGGCGGTGCCCCAACTCCCCTATCAGCCCTGCTCTGTTCCTGACAGGGGGGAGCTCCGAAACCCCCTGATCAGCCCTGCTCTGTGCGTGACAAGGGGGAGCTCCGAAACCCCCTGATCGCCCTGCGGCTCTGTGTGTGACAGGGTGTGGCGCCCCCACCACCCTCCCCATCAGCCTGCCCTGAGTGTGACAGTGGCGGCACCCCAACCCCCTGATCCGCCCTGCTCTGTGTGTGACAGGGGGCGGTGCCCCAACTCCCCTATCAGCCCTGCTCTGTGAGTGACAGGGGGGAGATCCTCAACCCCCTGATCCGCCCTGCTCTGTGTGTGACAGGGGGCGGTGCCCCAACTCCCCTATCGGCCCTGCTCTGTGAGTGACAGAGGGGAGCTCCTCAACCCCCTGACGGGCTCTGCTCTGTGGGTGACAGGGTACAGAGCCCCAACCCCCCTGATGGGCCCTGCTCTGTGCGTGACAGCGGGTGGTGCCGCAACCTCCCCATCGACCCTGTCTTGAGTGAGACAGGGGGTAGTGCCCCAGCCCCCCGATCGGCCCTACCCTGAGCGTGACTAGGGGTGGCATCGCAACCTCCCCATCCGCCCTGCTCTGTGCATGACAGGGGGCGGCGCCCCAACTCCCCAATCGGCCCTGCTCTGAGCCCGACCAGGGGCTGCACCTAGGGATTGGGCCTGCCCTCTGCCACCCGGGAGCAGGCCTAAGCCAGCAGGTCGTTATCTCCCGAGGGGTCCCAGACTGCAAGAGGGCACAGGCCAGGCTGAGGGACCTCCTCTCCAGCCCGAGTGCACAAATTTTTGTGCACTGGGCCTCTAGTGTGTGTGTGTGTGTGTGTATATATATATATGTATATATTTGCATACATATACAATGGGATACTATTCATCAACAAAAAAGAATGAAATATTTATATTTGTGGTAACATGGATAAACCTGGAGGACATTAGGCTAAGTGAAATAAGTCAGACCAGAGAAAGATAAATACCATGATTTCACTTACATGAGGAATATAAAAAAACTTAATGAACAAACAAACACACCAAAATCATAGATACAGAGAAAAGATTGGTGGTTTCCAGAGGAGAGGTGGGGTAGGGGTGGGTGAAATGGGTGAAGGGGGTCAAAAGGTACAAATTTCCAGTCCAGAAATAAGTAATGGGAATGTAATACACAGCATAGTGACTATAGTTAACAAATAATGCTTTGTTGCATATTTGAAAATTCCTGAAAGTAAATCTTTAAAAAATAGAAAAAAAATTTTTGTAGCTATTTATGGTGACAGATGATATCTAGGCTTACTGTGATCATTTAACAACGTATACAAATATTGAATCATTATGTTGTGCATCCCAAACTAATATAATGTGATATGTCAACTAGAGGCGTGGTGCAGAAATTAGTGCACGGGGGGTGGTGGGGGGAAGGGAAGAGGAGAGGGGGCCCTCAGTCCAGCGTGCACCCTCTCACAATTCAGGACCCCTGAGGGGTATGTCCAACTGCAGGATCAGGCCTAAACCAGAAGTTGGACATCCCTCTCGCATGGCACCTAACGGCTCGCCTGCCTGCCTGATCGCCCCTAACCCCTCTGCCTGCATACCTGATCACCCCTAACCACTCACCTGACTGATTGCCCCTAACCACTCTGCCTGCCTGCCTGATCACCCCTAACAGCTCACCTACCTGCCTGATTTCCCATAACCACTCGCCTGCCTGCCTGAACTCCACTAACCACTTGCCTGGCTGCCTGATCACCCCTAACCACTCTGCCTGCCTGCCTGATAGCCCCTAACAGCTCACCTACCTGCCTGATCACCCCTAATTGCTTGCCTGCTTGTCTGATCGCCCCTAACCACCTCTGCCTCGGCCTCCGCTGCTGCGGCTTCATCCAGAAGGTCATTCAGAAGGACATCCGGAATGACGTCCAGAAGGTCATTTGGCTGTCCGATCTAATTAGCATATTATGCTTTTATTATTATAGATTATATCTCAATGATTAATTAATTATTTTGTTTTTAAAAGTTGGAAGCAACTTAAGTGTCCATAGATTCATGATGGGTTAAAAACTATGTGGTATATGTACACAATTCAGTACCCAATAGAAAGGAAATTCTGACACATGCTACAACATGGATGAACCTTAAGGATATTATGTTAACTGTAATAAGCCAATCACAAGAAGCCCAATACTATATAATTCCATTATATGAGGTAGCATCAAATTCATTGAGACAGAAAGTAGAATGGTCCTAGCCTAGGGCTGAAAGGAAAAGGAAATGGAGAATTACTGTTTAACTAGAGGCCTAGTGCATGAAATTCGTGCACTGGGGGGAGGGGGGGTGGTTTGTCCCTCAGCTAAGCCTGCACACTCTCCAATCTGGGGCCCCTCGGGGGATGTCCGACTGCTGGTTTAGGCCCAATCCTGCCTAAATCAGTAGTCAGGCATCCCTCTCACAATCCAGGACTGCTGACTCCTAACTATTCGCCTGCCTGCCTGCCTGATTGCCCCTAACCACTTCTACCTGCCAGCCTGATCACCCCCTAACTGCTCCCCTGCTGGTCTGATTGACACCTAACTGCTTCCCTGCCAGCCCGATTGCCGCCAACTGCCCTCCCCTGCCAGCCCAGTCACCCCCAACTGCCCTCCCCTGCAAGCCTGATCACCCCCAACTGCCTTCCCCTGCAGGACTGGTACCCCCCAACTGCCCGCCCCTGCCATCCATCTTGTGACAATGTGGGGACAGCCACCTTGTTATGATGTGGGGGCAGCCATCTTGTGGTGGCCATATTGTGACAAAGTGGGGCCAGCCATCTTTGTGATGATATGGGGGTGACCATCTTGTGATGACATGGGGGCGGCCATCTTGTGATAATGTGATGGTGTGTGGATCAATTTGCAATTACTGGGGGTAGGGGAGGCCAGGGGATTGTCAAGGGCGGGGAAAAAAAGGACACATATGTAATACCCTTTGTAATACTTTAAGCAATAATAAAAAAAAATTTGCAATTACCTCTTTATTATATAAGGTATGCATAACCCATGGACACAGACAATAGGGTGCTAAAGGCCTGGGGCAGGGATGGGAAGACAGGCTGGAGGCAGTCAGTGGGGGGAAAAAGGGGGCATGTGTAATACTTCCAACAATAAAGAATTATAAAAAAGTAAAATAAAGTTATGGACATGACCCAATTCAGAAATTAAAACAAATTTGTCAAGCTCTAAAATAATATTATATAAATAATCATTTAATCATGTTTATGAGTCCTAAGGCATATGTAATTTCAGAAT